CTAGGAACAGGTGCCTTACTAGTAGTAACAAGAAGCTATTAGAAACACGATATGTTGATTCATAGACCGATATGTTGATTAGAAACCTGAACATTGAACTGTTTGTCGCGAGACTGGCAAGAGCTGAGTTGGCCTTAGAGGAATGCCAAGCATTCCAGATTTCTTGGAACTGCCAAGTGTTGATGATCATTGTCACAGTGAAGAATTCAATTACAACAGGTCTGAGGGACACACTTGGCTTGGGGGGGGGGGGTGGAGAATCTGTAAAGAGGGTCGATTCTTCCAAAGGAAGCGATGTACCAGAATCAGGGGTGGTCTGAACTTCCGGATCCTGGGAACAAAAGCAAGCGCAAGGCTTTTTCCGGGATACTGTTGTGAAACAGGGCACACGTTGATGTTTGCTGGTGGCAGTATGTTGTGCTCAATTGTGGTGCATGATGTCGAACCGCAGCTCAGCATTTCGTTGGTTTCCAGCATGTAGACTTTCGACTCAAACTCACAAACTTACTGGCTAGGTATACAAATGATGCTCTATACATTGTCTATACATTAAATATATAGTTCTGGGACAGTGCAAAGCCTTAAAGCAGAAGTTCCACACTTGATGGACAGACAGACAAGCTGCAGGCAGTCCAGTGAACCGCTAGCAGCACTAGCAGCTTGCATTTCCAGACTCTACACTACACAAGGCTTTTGTAGTCATATCCTATTCTATGAGACGCCGATCGCCATGGGTTATCCGGATTGTGGCAATTATCACGTCGACAATTGCAAGCTGCTTTTCAGTGTTCTCAGCTCAGCGCATTGCTACTAGGGGCAAGAAGCTACTAGGGGCTCTTGGCACACCATCGCGATCGGTCCACGCGTCTCGCCACCACGCCCTCTCTGGAGCATGGGAGGTGAAAAGAAAGAAGGACACAGGTGGTCACAAATGTACACTAATTATCAGGCACAGGTAGTACGACATCCCACGTACTAAGTGCCCTTCCAGCGCCATTGTCGAAAAGGTGCACCAGTTTGAGCCGCTCACAGTCGGTCATGTGAACGGCCGCTCCTGCAATGATGCCTTTCGGAAAAGCACAGCCACTGTATTTTTTCGTCGTTGCAACAAGATCGCCAGGAAGAATCTGGGCATTCTCGAGGCGAAGGGCTTGCTTGAGCATAGAACGAAACACCAGGATCAAATGGTGATAAAAACTGATACCGGCGGCAAGCTCCGTCGTAGCCACACACGCTTCCGAATCTACCTTCCAGTGAAGACCTTGCAAAAACAATCGGAAATCACGCCAATCCTCCTCAGTAAAGCTCCATCGAGAAGGTTGAGATTGTCGAGTGAAAATCTTCGGTTTCCAGGAAAACTCCGTAAGCGGGGTTCCCCACAACCATTGCGGGAAACGGGAAATGACAGAGGCTGCCGTGTCTGTCGTCGTAGGAGCCGCTTGGGTGAAGGTCGGGGACGGTTGGGTCGTCTCCAAGAGCCAGTTCAACATAACCAACCATTCATGTCGGCGTAAAATCGCATATTCAACAATCTTTTGATCTGAAGGTCGAATGGGTGAAAGGTCGGTTGCAATGCGCTTAGCTTCATGGTCAGCAACCCGATTAGCTATAATGTCTCGTGAAGATGATCCACATTCCCGTGCAGCTGCCTCAGTAATGAGAGCAGGGGGGAGGTGCTCAAGAAGATGGCTTGGAGTCCACGACACAATGATCGGGGTAGTACAAACCAGAAGGCGCAATGTCAAAGTACACCGTAGTTCATGCCACCATGCTTGGTGAGACCAGCCTGGATTAACCTGAAGTGTACGGCACAAGTCATTGAACTGGTCGACGATCGATTGGCAGTCAGAACGAACATGAATGCGACATGACGCGCGTTTGACAGCACGAAGGAGTGCAAACAATTCGGTTGTGTATGCCGAAAGCTCCCAATGGTTGACGCCTCCCGACTCAACAACTTGAAACTGGGCATTGACAATGGCATAGGCTCCAGTGGCAAGCCAGAAGTAGCTGCCCCACTGGACTGAGCCGTCCGTCCATAGAAGTTCAAGCCGCTCAGGGTCGAATGAGCCCGAGGTGTCTCCAACAGCGGACAATCGGAGTCGTGAAAGAGCGACCTTCCTTGGGTGCGTACACAGTCCAAACATGGGAAAGTTGACCCCAAATTCATGATCCGGTGGTCTAGAGATCGCTGACTCAACACCAGGACAATGATAAACGAGGTGTTCCCATGTCTCCTTTGCACAATCATACAACCGACAATTCGGTGCTGCAACAAGTTCAGCTCGATACAGCCGGTCATTAGTCAGGTTACACCCAACTTGAACAGATTCAAAAAAAATCCGGTTCGGGATGGTCGAGTCAAGGTGCAAACCAGAGCTGCGAAGGAACAATGAGGAAAGGTCTGGGTCAAAAATATCTTGGCAGCTACGAAGGTCTTTACGTGTGGATTTGGCTGCGTCGGTATAGCACTTCTGTCGCGCAAAGTACTGAAGTGGTTTGGTGAAATCACAGTGGTGAAGCTCATACAACGAGATGGGGCATGATCCACGAAATGAAATTCGTAAACCTGAATGCAGTGTCAAGCCAAGATGCCCCACTGCATCAGCAATTTGCTGGATCAGGGAATCACGAGGCCAAGTCGCCGCACCCTGTAGGTCACAACAGGTCTGAATGGCGCTTGGCATCTGATGTAAAAACCTAACGAAGTCGAGAATGGCCGCATAGGCCCTTGCAATCAATGGTTCAACCCGATGGGGTTTGGCGACGACACCAAGGACAAGCAATCGGGCTCTCCAATGCGGTCTTCGTGCCCAGATAACGTTAACGACTTCATTTTGGGTTTTCCACAAAACCTTCTGGGGGATCTTGGTAATGGCGGAGCCATACGTGAGCTGGGGAATAACTTTGGTCCCAATAAGGTGCTGCTTGATGTCTGGCTTCAAAGGAAGGGCGGCAATATTCCTCAAGTCGTCTACAACTTTTACTCCTTTCTTGGGATCGAAGTCATACGAACGAAGAGAAGAGACATACATCTTAATCCCCAGAACATCAATTACGTCAGCGAGTGGAATGTCGGGGAATAAGGCAATGACCATTTTCTTCTTGGTGGGGTCAGAAACCCACAGCTGACACTTTTTGGGATTCGAGAGTTGCCCAGTCAGAGTATCCCAAAAGTAGGTGACTTCAAGGGCCCGTTTCAAGTCAGCACGGTGGTTGATATTGGCCCACATATAGGCATCGTCGATAAAGGCCTTGGAGGTAACCGTAGGTATGAGATTACAAAAGATCGCCCAGACGGACATAAACAAGTTGATGGCAATGAGGGATAACGAACAACCCTGTGCAACTCCATTAGAGGCCGTCGTTGCCGTAGGCGAAATCCACCCCCTCAAGGCAAGATGCCGTCGCAGGTTGGTAAATCTGGAGGAAAAAATGCACAACACCCCGTGGCAGGCCAAAGGCAAGCATGAGAACCCCAGCCATGGCTGGGATAAGCCGGTCGAAACACTTGGACTTGTCGAGTTTTAGACCAACTAGGACTTCAGAATCATGCTTGGCGGTATCAAGGTCTAATCGCAGCTGGGTATGGACAGCACTCATAGATCTGCCCTTAATGGCTCCACAAAGGTTCGAAGGGAGTGTCATTTGCTGCCAAGACTGCAATTGCCGGAAGCGTAAACCTGAATAGGACAGGAGAAGCGCTGGTAGCAAAGTAATCAGTCTCTTTTGCATTGGCGATGGATCCCCATTTTTATTGAGAACCATTTGTTTGGCAACAGTAAGTACTTGAGGTAATGGAGAAAGATTTTGCTCAATGTGGTTGAAGAGGCGTGCAACCGGTACAAAAGCAAACCAGGGTAATCGCTGGAGTTCTTTCGTTCTCCACCCATCCAGGCCAGGGGCTGCTTCACGCTTGCGCCTGTGAATTTGATCATAAAGATCACGGGCAGTGATCTCTGGAATTTGGGCTTCATGTGAAAGATGACACGCAAGGCCAAATCACCTTGAGTACGCCTTGTGGGTCCTCATAAAGAGCATTAATACCAAAAACCCCATCCCACTGGGAATTGAATTCGGCAAGGGCATCGAGGGGTTGGTAAATAATGTGGCCGGCGGAATCGGTGATCAAGTTAGGTGGCTCATCAGAGGCCTTTTGCTTAAGATGTTGAAACACATACTTCATGCTGCCATTAGCCGAAGCTTGCATTTTATCCTTCCATGATTGTATACGGCTCAGCCGGGTGGTGTGGGTGACCTGCGAAAGGACACCTTCGAGCCAAGACAGGCAATCGGAAATCTGTACCAAGGTGGGATAGTGGTCGGAAGCCCAGACATGAGGGCAGGACCAATGGCCAAGTATTGCCCGTGCCTTCCGCAAGGATCTAGCTAGTGTGACACCATCTTCGAACGATTTCACCGGTCGTGCCAACCGGAGTGAAAGTTCTCTGAGGATATTGACAGCCTTTGCAATGCGTTTGGTCTTTCGCGAAAGGGCATCTCCTTTACTAAGTTGTCCAGGACAAATTCTGGTGGGCCGAAAAGACGGCATCGAACCCCTTTGTTTGGGGCCTTTCTCCCAAATGCCACCATTGGCAGTAATGACCTGGATGAAATAACGGTTGATGATCTCCCACTGATCGTCAACTGTGGAAGCATCATTGAAGGCCTGCTCATTGGTGGTGGTCCAAAGGTGGACAGCATTGGTGTGACATGGACACAGGGGGTCGTCACTGTCCGGAATAGAGCACTGATCGA